GAAAACAAGTTTCTCCCTGGCTTCAGCCAAGTATACTAAGTGGGTGGTGACTCTGCCCCACACAGTCAGGCTCAAGGTGAATCCACTGTCTTTAGTAGGGGCTTCTAGGGTCTCTGATCATTGGAGTTCTAACGAGCAGAGAGGGGGAAAAGCACCTGGGAAAGGCACCCTCCTCTCCAAAGTCCATAAATGCCAGCCAGGACCTTGGCCCGCCTCCAAGTGGAGAGAGTTACGTCAGACAGCCACCTCCAGGGGAAGGGCGTCTACCTTGTATACAGCTACAATTCTGTTACTGGGGCAGATAGCACAAGTGGATTTTGGTGGCAGCTAGAGCTCTGTACCGTGTAGGATGCACTGAGGAGAGAGCATCTAGGCTGTGCAGTATTGATGTTTAGATGGGTTCTAATAGGGGTCACCTCATTCCCTTCCAACAAAGGAAAGAATTTGGAGTTTCTGTAGTTTAATCGTCTAGATCAGAGGTTCATGAGGAGTAACAGAAAACAGATAATAGAGACAGCTGCCTGGAAATCAGCTCCTCTACTGTGTCAAAGGGATTTTTTCCCCTGTAGCATTAGTTTTCTCATCCCTGGGTCACTGTCTCCTTTCACAGCAGCTGGTGTAGCAGTCGTCATCAAACCCCAGCCACCATGGCCCCTCTGCTTTAGTGAGCAAGCTGTGTAAGCCAGCTGTGGGTTGGGGCGCCATGCGACCACTCTGTGTGCCAGCCCCACATGTGACAAGTAGGACCTCCTGCCTACCCTCTGCCTGCCTCAGGCAGGCCCTTCCAGCAGGAGCTCAGAGGTGTTAATTTGAATGTACATAGTTGAAGTTCCTTCTCGGGCTGACTTTCCCTGGCATGTAGTGACTCAGGTTATGTGGCCCGTCCTTCACTTCGGTCTTTCCTTCATGACACAGCTAACGGAGTTTCTTTGACATGTCTTGCCTGAGTAATGAACCTTTTCTGATTTCCAGGGCTGACATAGGCATTACCCCTGTTTTTATATTGCTTTAGTCATTTTCAATAGGAATTTGGTTATTCACATATTTCTTGTTCATAAATAGTTAAGTAATGAGTATCAGTACTGCTTCAAAACAAATGTGGTCACTGCCTTCATGGAGCTAATGGGGAGCAAAGGGAGTGCCGAGGAGAGTATCACAGAGAGAAATGTAAGTCCTGCTCCACAGCGGCTCCCAGAACTTACACGGGATCATCTTCCCAGGGAGGGGGTCAAAACAGGTGTCTGGGAGCAGCAGGGACATCAGTGGCACTACAGCATGAGGAGGGTGCCTTAAGGGAGGTGGGAGAGGCCCACCAAGCTAAGGAGTACCCTTCATGTGCCCTCTGGGGAGGAAGTGGGAGGTGCTGGGATAGAGGCAGGATTGTGGGATGCCCAGGCTGCAGGGTGAGGAGTGGGCTGAGGAGGAGCAGCAGGCAGGTCAGGAGGCAGTTGTGGGCACCCAGGTGAGACATGACAGTGACTTGAATGCACATGGTGAGGGGAAGATGGTACAGTTGATGGAGTCAGACTCAGGTGTTAGCCTGAGATCTGTCTTTATCAATTTCAGGATCATGAGTTCAGAGGACTTAAATTTCTTCTTCTTTTTTTTGAGACAGAGTCTTACTATGTCGCCCTCAGTAGAGTGCTGTGGCTTTACAGCTCACAGCAACCTCCAACTCCTGGACTTAAGTGATTCATTCTCTTGCCTCAGCCTCCCAAGTAACTGGGACTACAGGCGTCTGCCACAACGCTCGGCTATTCTTTGTTGCAGTTGTCATTGTTGTGTAGCAGACCCAGGCCAGGTTCGAACCCTCTAGTCTCAGTGTATGTGGCTGGTGCCATAACCACTGTGCTACGGGTGCCAAGGCTCTTCTGGAACTTTTAAAGCAAGGCAAGCAATATGCTTCTTGTTCCAATCTCAACAAAGGGAAAGGGCATTATTGCCTATACCTGGCAGTGTCTAGAATCCAGTGTTTTAATGATGTTTAATTTTTATTCTATATGACTGAATGAATGAGTCAGTGGCTGTCAGCTCTTCTCCCAAGCCTTTGAGTCCTAGACGAGACTAGCTATAGTCGAGACTATATTTACTCTTCTCCATTTCAGGGGTAACAAGGAGTGGATGTGCCTTCCCCCTCTGTATATACCTCTGTCAGGCGTTATTAATGGATTATGGTGCTCTTCCCTGGCTAAGTCCAGATATGATCTCAGAATGCTTGTCTCAAAGCCCCTTAGGCAGCCTATACCAATAACACTCAACTCAAAACCTGTTTTGTTTTGTAGCCCCTCTTTTAACAGACCGTGAGTGGAAATCCAGAAACAAAAAGCCATTTGCACTGAATCTCCTACACTCCCTTGTGAAAATGTCGATGACCTTAGGAAACCTAAATTTATCTTGCTCTTGTGCTTTAGAACTGGCCTTGTTAAGTTAGAGAACAGTC